GTATTACTTCGTGCTGAGCTTGAGTCTGCTCCGTACCACAACAAACTCTGTAGCTTTGTTCAAAAAATCGCTCAGCCGAGACGGATTGCAAATTTGATGATCGCGTTCAATGATCTCTCAGGTGATACGCATCTCTTTTCAAATAACCAATGAGATCAAAGGAATATTTCGAGAATGAAAAGAGGAGATAATGAACATAATGAACATAACATAGGAAACTATAACCGAATTACTACTAACAGCTGGCTGTTCAGTAATCCCTGTAGAGCCTTCAGAACTGATATCAGCACTGCTACCATCGTCACCTTGCTGACTCGTCATGGATGATCTCTGCAAAGACTGTAAAAGATCATCTCATCATTACAAACAGTTTGCGACACTATCCATAAATTGCTGCGGACTTATGAGGAACATAAATTACGGAATTCACCTTTCTTCTAGGTCTTCTACTTTGAGTTGTCGTTGGTGTGTTTGCGACCTGGACTGTCCCTTTAATGAAATATGTGTTTTTTTTTGCGTGATAGTGGTAATTGTTACACAAACAGCTTCTTAGGAAACCAATACATTTCACCTCTTTCCAATGCATAAGGGTTAAATAACAGACGGCATAACGAATTCGGATTTACTCACCAACGCTTTCCCCTTCCAATCCATCGGCGGAGTCTTTACTGCGGTGACTTGCATCCCTAAATGGAAACTTGGCTGTGACTAGCAATCTGAAGAATAATGAAGGGTGAGAAAGTCCTACAAATTCAAAGATTCGGACTGCGTACGACGTGGACGCGACGAAGTCGATTTTCGTGACGATGAGAAACCAGTACCCTGAAGTGCCTTCAAATACTTCAATCCACAATGCGCAGATATCACGCAAAACCTTGCAAAATCCACACCTTTGCGGTTACTGTCTCTGATACAGCCTCTGACGAGGAACCATCTTCATGCTTCGATGCAGATCGAGTACATACCATTCCTGAAACGGCTGAGATAAAGAATAATACTACTAACAACGTGATACATAAGCGTGTACTATCTCTCGGAAAAAGACGGAAAATTGGTCAAACACAGCTGATGAATTAAATTGAAAATGCAAAAGGCATTGCTAGCAGCAACACGCCAAACAACAGAGGTCACGCCCGCCAGACTAAACCACAAGCGGCACGCTTCAAGTTTGACGCGTCGTTGTGGGCAATTCCATGACTCCTTTACTCAAAGGAAATGGAAGGTTTTCGTCGTATAACTTCGGGTCTACTTCCGGTAAGGTGGGCATGCCATGTCAACGGTTTTCTACGATGCCTAGCTAATTTCCGAGCGAGGGCAGGGTGTGTGTTCACTAGACAGAGAGCGACTATACGATTTCGCAGCGCGAAGCTATGTTCGCTGTGGGAGCCTCGGGTCCATGCCGTATGCTATACTTCCTTGAAGCTAATGATCCAAAGTTTCCTTTGAATTTATTTGTTCGAACGATATAGTTTCTTCATTTTCAGTGCATGTTTACTTTTACCTACATACATACATTAAATGTAGGTCCTTTATCAGGGCAATCCCAGATGGGAAGACAAAGAAAATTTAAAGGCTTTTTCGTTCCTGCACCAGGCCCTTGGGATGGATAGCAATACCGGCCCCATGATATAGCCTGCTTTCTGTCCCTAAGTAAACCACACCCCCAGGGAGTGAGGTAGGCTGTCGGGGGGTGTTTAGGGCGGGCCTTGGCATGCGTGAAAAGCTGCAATGTTCGAGTTCACACTAGTTCGCCGAGAAACTCCATCATGATGACCCCCTAAGTGGAATAGACCCAAAAATACAAAGCTTTCAATACGACAAATCCCGCGTCACTTTTACCTTTAGCATTTTGCATTGTTTAACGGGCATGACTAAGAGTGTGGTGGTGTAGAAATGAATTCGTCCACATGCAAATGCTTCCCGTTCCTCTCCACCCAGCGAAAAAAAGAAAGACCTCGTGTATGTGTACGACACCACAAACGTAACCTCTAGTGAGCAACTCAACTAACTCTTCAATTCATGGACAAATGTGGAGAAATGCTCCAGCGAGAACCGCATCGCAAAGGAACTGCGCACGCCGGGTGTTGGCACTGTGCCATACTAATTTCCTGGCTTGCTCTATATTGAATGAGATTGTTTGGCTTTTGTTCATGGTAACCAGTCAGTTTTTTCCCACTGTTCCACAAGCAAGGCCGCACTCTGTCCGCTATTTTCTAAATAAACCCTTAGACAACGTTGACGTCAGACGCATTTAATTGCTAAAAAGTTTGGTTCCGTAGCCTTCTAACTTCCAATTTCACACTTACTCAGTAACAGTTGGGATGATTTATGAGGGACCTGGGGATAGTACCATTCAGCTTACGAGATGACCAGTAGGTTCATTCTCGAATAAGTATTTTGTTGGCTGTGTAAGATTGGAGGATTTATTGCCCCTACTTTTCGGCCTTCTCACCTCTATCAGAGCATACAAAACAGAGATTCGTCCTCATGTGTATGGTGTTTCTAGTATTCAGCTTTTGTTAGCTGTAGCTCATCTGCTTATTTAGTCCGGAGTTTATTCCAACAATGTCCTGTGATGTTGGTGATCTCTTCAATACTCCATTTTTGCAGAAGAGGGAGCTCCGAGGTTAGTTTTAAAGCGGAAGCGAAGTAGCTTACACACCCTGAGGGTTTCATCCCCTGCGAGAATCTGAATCAGTGTAGACGGCAGAAACTGTCATACCTATTTCTCCACTCCTCCTCCCCCCTACTGGAATAGAGCCGCACTCCGCTGTGGAATCGCTTGTAGTTCCTTTCTAGACGTCGCAGTAGTGTTATCATAATTTTCGCAGTATTAATTTTTCACACAGCTTATATAATCCTCTACTCTCTAATTTAGATATGTACTCAGCAAACCGAACACACCGTGCAGAAACGAGGAATCGAACAAAGGATGAATTGCGGAAAGTCATTAGTTCCATAGAAAAAGTGCGGAAGTGGGAGAAAAAATGGGTTCTCATCAAGGATACCGCCATTAAAATACAGAAATGGGTTCCTGGTATGTTAGTTTCTGTCTTCTTTTTTTGTTACATGAACAATGAGACAAACTGCTCGGTGACCGTTCTGGGAAGATAATGTTTCCTTCATGTCGTTGGTTGAAACGGTTTCCTTCCCTTTCGAAAAACGTGTAGAATTCTTCTACGTGGAAGGAGAACTCCGTAAATTAACGAATGATCATAGAATTCCCGGCTGCACGTTTCTTTGAATGTTAAGAACTATCTAAATGAGATGTTCGCTAACCAGCTGATGTTAGGCATTTCTGCAGAAATCGCGTGTAAACGACAATTTTCTTCGATGCTTTGATAATCCAAGAGCGTGTTAACAGGATTTTAAGGAATCCTTCTCTATGCTTCACAACATACTTACGTAGCCTTCCTCACAAAAGAAGTTTTCGGTTTCACATTATGGGAATATTTTTAGCTTTCGAATCATGGACTGCTTATAGGTGTACTAAACACTGTTTTTCTGAATTGAAGAGTCATGAAGATTTTATTCCCATTCTAAAATGTTTCACGTAGATGAAACATAGGGCGCATGCATAGTCGGTCGCCCGATCCGACGAGCTTCAACGCTGGTCACAAATATGGGAACTAAAACTGCAAAATAAACCTGCAAGGAAGGATGTGAGCAGTCAAAGTTGGCTGGAAGTAAAGCTCCACATAGGAACAGTGCTGGCTCTCAAATCGCTGTGAGGTAGAAGTAGTGCTCTCGCTCTCCAGCCGCAGGTCATTAGTTTTCTTCCTCTTGGAGTGTAAATTTCGTACCACTAGCACTACTCACGGCGACTCTGAAAGCCCATAGTCCACCACGATTCATAACGTAACGCAACGCTTTACTTCAGCCAATTTTGACTGCTAACAACTTGCCTTAACCAGGCTTCAATTTGCTTCCTTTAATTCCCCATATTTGTAAACAGCGATCCGCAAGCTCAAATCGATAATATCCAGGTCCAATTCAAAGTTCCATGGGAAGTTGAATACCTTTCCTAGTAAGGAAAAACCAGGTTTGAAGTGAAATACGAACGAATTCACCGATTTTTATCAAATTTTTCTTACCTTTTTGCCTTTATTAATATCAAATGGAATGTGTTAAGAATTAAAATATTCTCTTGTAGTGACAGCACAGATGAATATCCCACCTCCTAAGATTACAAAGCCGGCTATAGATGAGGATACTAGCAATACCATACAATCTACGGAGGAAGTTTCACAAGGTAAGCTTCATTCGTGAGAGTTAGCGGAACTAGATGTAAAACGCCATTAATACAACATTCCCATGTTATCAAACGCCCAAAAGTCAGATCTTCTTTCAGATTCGGCTACTGCACCAACGCTCCTCGACTCGCTCGATTCGGTGCCAATATCAACGATGATTCCAACACTGGATTTTCCGAAACCGCCTTTGATTCAGATTCCAATCAAACCTTTGAACCACAAAATTACCAACCCAGTACTGAACATGGTTCAACGGATTTTAGCGCTATGCGTGATGCTGAAATGGGTCACTAGTGACTTCGACGTCGACCTGCCTTTGATCTCTGTAACCTTTGTATTTGCTCGTTTTATGTACAGCATTCGTTTATTCATAATAATTAACAGTGAATGAAAATAACAGCGGCAAGAAATCGATATGTACACATGAGGATACTCTGAAAAATAGTCGAACACAAGTGATAGGTGATGCATTCAGCAGCGGCAGGAAGTATGAAAGCCTGTGAAACGAAACACTTCCACGAAGTATTGTCTAAACTAGTCTGGTGATGGATAAAGCTCAAAATTAAGGTTATCAGAAAAACTACTAACCGTGAGTTTCGCACATTTAAGACAGATCTTGAAATGATTATTACTAGGACAGCCTCCCAAAAAGCGTTCCTTCTGCAGGTCTGATTGCTGTCAAACGTGTTTAAGTGAGTGAAGCGGTTGACGTCTGCCTGTACACGCAAAGCTATTTTCGATATCGCGATAGCCCACGCGAAGTGAGCGCTCAACCGAGAATTATCTGGACACCGAGAAAGCCGGGATAAATAGTCACAGGAAGAAGGCACTATCAAACTATTACAACCCCAAAATCTCAAAATTTTATTTTTCGTCGAAACTTTGTCTATAGGGGTAATTCGGTGCCCTGAGTACGAAAATGACATCCATTTTCAACGGGGGCGCCATCTGGCGCCAGGTGGCGTCACCTTGTCACGACAGTTGTTTTCACCAAACTCGATGTAAACTTCTGGGGGGTAATTTGGTGTCCAGATTACGAATATGACATTCATTCTTGGCGCTAGCTCCATTTAGCGCTTTAATCTCTTCGTCTGCGCCCTCCTAGTGACTAGATCGCGATCAGGACTAAGCTTTAGGAGAGAGGAAAGATATCAGTGAGTGAGCCCTCCCTACCCTGTGATCTCACACGCTCCATCTTCGTCACACGGTGCCTGATTCACTCATTCCGAGTCTCCCTATCCCCTAAGCTTAGTTAGTCCCAAGGCGCTATGTATAGGTGAGAGAGCCCAGAAAAGCGGGAAGTATGCGGTAAACAGCGGTAATGTCAAAAACGAATGTCATATTCGTGATCAGGACATCAAATAACCCCTATACAGAACTTTACACCGAATTTGGTGAAAACATGTGTCGTGACAAGGTGGCGCCAACTGGCGCCAGATGGCGCCACCGCCAAAAATGAATGTCATTTTCGTAATCAGGGCACCGAATTACCCCTATAGAGAAGTTTCGACGAAAAATAAAATTTTGAGATTTTGGGGTTGTAATAGTTGAATAGTGCCAAATTCCTTATTCGGAAAGAAGGGATGTTACGTATTTATCCCACCCTGCGCCCGTGCGATTGCGTACAGCAGGCGATTACAGTACTCTCACGGCTAGTTCCGCTATCGTTGGCACCCTGTTTTCGATTGAATAACTACGGGTAGAACTTGTGATGAGAGGAAATAATAAGACTAGATGACTTATATCTAGTCTAGCAGTTTTTTGCATATATCTTCGAGATGTCAGCAGTGAATATTTGTGGTAGTGGACATCAGATAAAAAATTCCTATCTCCTATCCAGCAAAAGTGGAAGCGAACACTGAACATAACATTTAATGCAAAATGATTGGAATCGTGAAGAACAGTTTTCCCATTGATAGCGCAATAGTTAAGCTTTTGCTCAGAGCTTACGTAAAGAACTGCTATTATCTTCCAACGCAGAAGCTGTTTGGCGAATAAAAGCGCCAAGCCATCGTGCTCCTCCCCACCCCCTGCTGGTCCCCCTAGTACTAGGCTGTGAGTCTAGGGGGAAGTGTAAGCAGTTTTCATTACCCTCAAAGTTCACCCTCTTCTCCAAGGCTCAGTCAGCGTGGGCATGCCCCTTTTGAGTACACTAGCGCCTCAAGAAATTGATTCGCAACAGTAACGCAAACGTTCCTGTAAGCGGATTATCTCCAATGGAACTGAATCACATTTTACGGCATCTTTTACAGAAAGAATGAACATATCCCGTGCCTATCATCTACAAGTATGCGCTCTCACTTTCAGCACAAGTCATCCTCACAAGGATACCTCCGTATCAGATTTCTATGTCTATGGAAATATCTACAAGTGCTAATAAATCAACTAACAACTCGAAAACAAGGTGGCCGTGAGACGCAACTACTAAGCAGTTCATGATGAAAACTACCTCACGAATTAGAACTCTCTCTTCCCTCAGGTGCCAAGTAAACTTCGTCCCCTCGAGTCCCTCACTGCACTGGTACAATGCATAATGGCATCAATGATTGTTCTAGTGCGGAACATTATAAATACGCTAGCACATCACCCTATTTTGCATGTTAAGAAGTAAATGACATGAGAAATTGAGAGTGGTTTCCAGACGCGCACATGATGTTCCGATATGTAAAACATCTCTCGGTACCCGAGTCCACCCTATCGACGAGTAATGCATTGAAGCACTCAGTACAATATTCGGAGCTGTGCTAGTTAAAATTGATTAGTCTTCTCATTTCCTTTCACCAAGAGCCCCGCCTGTGATCATCAGTTACAAATGTCAACGCCAGTAGAACTAGGCGTGGGTGTACTGTAATCGCTTGCGGTACGCAACTGCACCCGGCGCGTATACTCTGCCTTGCTATTTTATTTGTAAAGCTTAATGTGGTAATATATTGTAAAGCTGAATCATAACGCTGAAAAATACCAAATCTTGCATCCCGTCTCTATGGGCGCATGCATAGTCGGTCGTCCGACAGCAACGATCGTAACTGTCGCACAGCATTGATGCGTATCGATCGTCAGACTTGCCTGAGTATTCGACGATTACATCACGTATCGTTACGGTCGGACGACCGACTATGCATGCGCCCTATAGTAGCCGTTCCGGCGGAAGTCAGGCGCGAGCTGTTGTGGAGCGGTGTGTTTAGTAGAGCAATGCGCAAGAAAGCGTAGCATACGCACTTAACGGGTCTGTGCGGAGCGTTCAGGTATTCGCCGTATTATAACAAAGTATTAAACAAAGGCGGGTCGACAAGCTCCTACCATTTAAGACCCGCTGTTTTTTCGAAAGGACCCGAATGAAATCGTTGAGGAATAATGAACAAAATTGCTCGATAAATTACTTTCCACTTGTTTTCGGAATGAAATTAGTAGCGAAAGGATTCGTTGAGGAGACGGCAGTATGGTAGAGGCAGTGCTATGAAAGAAAGTGAAGGAAAGTCACAGAAATCACAATCGGAGTGAACGAAATAGATCCGGCATTGACTTGAGCAGCCGCGACGTATGTGGAATCATTCTGCTTCGTGCAGAACGGCCAGTACTTAGAAATGGCCACTGGATATCCTCTTGCTACCGGTAACCGGTAATCACTTGTATTCATTTTGTAGAGCATATCGCCTTGCATGAAGTACAACTCTGGAATGAAATAAACGATAAATTCTCTGTGGAGCAAGGATGGTGTCAAATATGGGCAGTTCTGCAAAAGACTCTTCGAGGTGCGCCATGCACTCGTTTGTGGTTAATAGTTGGAGAAGCACTCGAAAGTTATATACCCTCACCTACTGTCGCGACAGCAAACATCTTGATTCTAATCGTTCAACGCTGTGAGCCTAGGCCTAGAGCTTTGCTCTCTCCGTTACACTGCGTATCCCACCCATTGACTCCTGCGAATACGACCCTCCCCCACTACCGTCGACCAAATACGATCCCCCGTTGGACTTGGTCCAACGGAC